TTATCAATTCAGTATAATATATATATATATATATATATATCGGTGCCAGTACACAGTATCACACCCACGCGCACTTATCTCACTGCCGCGTTCCTTCACTTCCATACACCCCTATCCCCGTCCCGTCGTGGTAGGTGTGTCTCTAAACAACGAGACCCAAGGGCCAGGCGGCGACTTTATTGTGGGCATTATCAAAGCACGTAACCTAACCCACAAAGGAGGTAGTAAGGACGCAAAGGATTACATACCCAGTCCGTATTGCGTGGTTGAGTTTGGGAAACAGACCAAACGTACCACCACAGCCGTGAAGAACGCGTCACCGCTGTGGCGAGAGCAGTGTACGTTTACGGTAGCACCCGCGGAGGATCACTGTACGTACACGTTCAAGGTAGTGTTGTCTATATTAAATACTATATATATTAAAATTAATGAGGTTAGTGTTATATACATTCAAGGTAAAGGTAGTGAGGATAGTGTTATATACACTCAGGGTAGAGGTAATGAGGATAGTGTTATATACATTCAAGGTATAGGTAATGAGGATAGTGTTATATACATTCAGGGTAGTGAAAGTAAACTATTCGAAGAAAAGTATTATATGCATCCATGGTAATCACTACACATACACAATCAAGGTAATGAAAGTGTACTATGCAAAGTATGTTATGTACATAGAATGTACGGAAAGCATGCTATGTAAAGGATATTGATATATACATACAATGTACGGAAAGTGTACTATGTAAAGGACAGTGTTATATACATTCAAAGTATTGGAAGTATGCTATGTAAAGGATATTGGTATATACATACAATGTACGGAAAGTGTATTATGTAAAAGATAGTGTTATATACATTCAAGATATTGGAAGTATGCTATGTAAAGGATAGTGTTATGTACATTCAAGGTAATGGAAGTATGCTGTAAAAGGATAGTGTTATATACATACAATGTATGGACAGTATGCTATGTAAAGGATAGTGTGTGTGTCTTGACTGTACGTGTAATTTGTGAGTGAAAGCATGGTACGTATATGCTTTATATGTCACTGCATGATATTTATACGTGTCATATGACAATGCACACGTTTATAAGTGCACATACTAAACACAAGAGTGTGCGTATGCCTCTGCCGTATGTGTCGGTGCATGAGTGTGTCCAGTTTCGGGCTCAGTGGGTTTACGAACCCAATGCTACCACCATCACATGGATCTACTCATATCAAGTGGTCTAGCCACCTCCCATCACATGGATCTACTCATATCAAGTGGTCTAGCTACCTACTATCACATAGATCAACTCATATCAAGTGGTCTAGCTACCTACCATCAGATGGATCTACTCATATCAAGTGGTCTAGGCGTGTGCATGCGTGCGTCTGAGTGTCTGTCCATATGCGTAAGATGTGAAGTAAATGAGACTGCCTGCTTTAACTACCAGTTCCCAAATTTAAAGTTAAGTGTTTGATCCACATGTCGCTGCTCAGAGGTCAAACTCTGCGTTGACTCCGTGCGTACATGCTTTACGAGTGGTTTCGTATCTAAAAATAGATACCGCTTTGCGTACCGGTATTCAACGAACAGATAGGCATGATGGATGAGACCGATAACTCGGGTCGGCTGGTGAAGCGCAGTGATACCAAATTAGGCAAAGCCCACGTCACTCTACAGCTGTCCGATCTAGACCATACCATTGAGAAGTACTACAAGCTCGAGCACAGGAAAGGTAGGTATGCTGGGGTAGTATATATGTATGCCTGTATACACACACACACACGCACACACACACACATATATATATATATATATATATCTATCTATCTATCTATCTATCTATCTATCTATCTATCTATCTATCTATCTATCTATCTATCTATCTTTCTATCTATCTGTCTGTCTGTCTGTCTGTCTATATAT